CAAAAAAAAAAAAGCATGAAGGAAAAATTGAGGTATTTTACATTGCCTCAAATGACCAGCATTGTATTCATAAAATACTGTATATCTTGCAAAACTTTATTTAAACGGAACAGTTGAACTGTTCGTTTTTCAATCTGAAGTAAAATACTTTCAAGACCTTTTAGTTTGCCTGCTCATTTGTCTTGTACATTTCATCTCTGTATTTGACTCAAGTCTAATTCCTTTTTGAGTTTCAATACTTTTGTGAAGATTTTGTGAATATATGAAAAAATAAATGTTTAATCTAACTACTGCAGTTTATCACCATTCTTGACACCCTGCCTTCCCCTTCACAGCGCTGTGGAAAGTTAGAGTAACATTTTTGGTAGTGTTGGGGTCCTTCCCCAGCTGAGTCCTGGGCTGCTCTGCCTGGAGTTTGGAAGCCTGAGAATTAATGGAAGAACGTACATGTGCAAAGGTTTCCTAATGTACGAYTGTTGTCTTATTTTTGTCCTCAAATACATGGGAAACTTGTGGAAGGATCCAAACTTGGCTTCGGGGTGGTGTTCCAGCTGCAGGACAGCAGCTGCTCAAAGCTGCCATGCTGAGGGAGCTGTGTGTAGAACTGTGCCAGAGTTAATTGGATTTACTTTCAGCTAAAACCCATATTCAGCAGTTCCTGAAGCACGGCTGATTTACTGAAATACGGTCTCAGTATCGTCCTTCCTTGGGAGACATGCACAAAATGGAAGTTCTGGTAGTTTTCCCTTTGSTAGTCCAGCAAAGACCATTGGAAACACATAAATAAGCTGAAATGTTTTTATGTCTTCCTGTTTGGCATAAAATTGATTTGATGAGAGTCTTATAATTGGGGAAAAAAAAATGAAATGGTGCTTATAATTAAAAATCTATGTATTTGTTAATTGTCATTCATCTCAAGGCAGAAAAGAGGAAATGTAAGTAAATCTCTCTGTTTGTGAGACATGACTTGATTTTGTTCCTCAGAATTTACAGCTCAGGTTTTTAAATACTAAAACTTGTTTTCCTAGAACTYAATCTTTAGAAAATAGTCCAGTGACTCATCACAACTTTTTTTAATGTACTTCCAAAATGGACCTTTTCCATTTTACCTCTGGAGTCATCATGAGTGCATCCTAAATATAACATGACCACCTGGCTAGAAAATAGCCCTACCTAGAAAATTTGACTGTGTACATAAATGCAGCCAGCCACTTGACATGTTGATGGATGTTAAAACTCATGATAGATCTTAAAACTGAATATTTGATTCCAGTTTTATTTTCTAAAGAGTAAAAGCTTTAAGATATATTAAACTTGATTTTTAGAAAATAATTTTGCATTGTTAAGCAGAAGAATCRAGTTCTAGAAATCAGAGTAATCACTTTTTACACTTCAGTGGTAGCTGGAATAATTGAATTTGTTTTTTGTTATAGCCTCTAAATAGGTAAATATACTCTCTTCTTGAGTAATTATTTTTTAAAGGTTTTGATTTTAATTCTATTTTGTGGCATAAAAGCCATTGGGAGGAATGGCATCGTTCTGCTTCCAGCATGCATGCAGGTGAGGTGCTCTGGGGCCTCTGGTGCATCCCTTTGCTCAGCCATTACCTGTGGGATATTGAATGACCTGAGCAGTGAATCTCTTGAAGGTTTCCCTGCTCTGCAGCAGGTGTAAATAGCTCTTGACATTTGAAACTTGCTGCATTGAGTTTCCTAATCCTTTTTCAGSTCTGAGCCCACTCTTTGTTTTTTGGTGCTAAATGTGACATTTATCAAATCCTGTCCAGCAGGTTATAGTGAAGCACAAAGGGGATGCAGTTCGTTAGTGCTCTAAGAAGGCTATTTTTTGCTGCTACAGCAGCTCTTTAAAGAAAAAGAGACCAAAAAMCCCATTGATTGAGCAGGCTGAAGTAGGAATACGTCCCCTTAGCCCTCACATATCCATATTTTAAGCTAGTTTCTTTGTAAATTATTCTATGATCAGATGTTGGGATGTGAGGCTGTTTTTTTTTAAGTCTGTGTAATGAAGTCCTACTTTCCCATAGTGCAAAATTCTGCCAGAAAAAAAACCACTTGACTATGCAAGAGCTGGCTTGTAAAGAATGCATCTGTGTGGTGGTAGAGAAGTCTGAGGAACCATGAGTGCAGATTTGGTGAGTGCTTTGCTTGTTTAAAATAAATAAAATGCTCTTGTGCGGGTATATAAAACGACTTTTGCTTCTGTATGAAGCAATGTTTGACTCTTGAGCTTAAAGATCATTAAGCAATCAAATGCTTCTGAATAGCTATTAGTGAAACTAATCTGTGCTCTCGGCTGCATTTTCCCAGGTCTAAAGTTCATTTGTTGTGCTAGATTKGGTGACAGCGAAATCTGAAAATAATCCTGGTTCAAACTGCTCGTTTATGCTGCCTGGCAATGTAATGCAAAAATATCTGTTCTGAACTTAGAGCTCCCATCTTAGAAAAAACAAAACCAAAATCCCCAAACAAATCCATCTTGGTGGTCTGTACACAACAGATTATTGCACTAGGTGTGTGCAGAAATATTTTTCTTACAAAAAATAGCATGATGTGGTTTAGGTGAAATGTGCATTAATGGTTGCTGTTTGYATTTCCTTCCTGTGACCTATTTCCWAACAGGACTTGTTCATTCTTACAGTAAGTAGGAGACTGAGTAAGGCTGGATTGGGGTTTTTTTCCTCTTCACTRTAGTGGATCTTGAATCAAACTTCTTTGTGGTTGCCTGGTAATCAGTAACTATGAAAAGACATTCTCAGTCAGAAA